GCGAATCGGATGACGCAAAGGTTCTTTAGCGGATGCCAGAGTGTTTATAATTTTGTTGTAAACATGTTAAGTGACCGAAGTCTCCGATTACTGCAAAAACGTTCTTGCAACCCCAACAAGTAATTGTTAATTAGGTAACACATAATGTTAGGTAAAATTCCTAATCAACAGAAATAAGTTTTTACTTGTTGGATATATTTTTAGCTTGCGACTCTGCAAGTGTGTATGGGTTATTGATTTTATTCATATGAAGTGTGAATTTTCTGGAAATACGTAAGAAACGACGTCATTGCAGAGTAAAATGCGTTCCATTTTCATGCTCTGATCAGAACCAGATTCTATTGTACCAGGTTAGAAGTCCGCATGTTTCGAAAAGAAACGGAGCAACAAATCTAAGACCTTTCAAAATAAGGAGGAAAATGTGAACATCAACAGTACACTGAGTGAAAATATGATTGTTAGATGCGGAGTTCCACAGGGAACCGTATTAGGATCAATGCTGTTTAATTTTTATATTGATGACCTTTTTAAATTAAAAAACGATGGAGAAATTATTGGTTTCGCAGACGATACGGCAATTATTTACTCAGACAAATATTGGACGTCTTCAAAAAACAAAATTGTATTAGATTTTCAAAAGGGTACAGATTTTTACACGGAAAGGATTTTAACAGTCAATATCAACAAAACATACTTTATTAAATTTTCTTGCGATAACAGATCTTTGCCAAATTTTAATCAACTCCAAATTAAAACGCTGAATAGCTGTAGAAACATACAATCGGTTGATAATTTTAGATACCTAGGGGTATTTATAGATAACCATCGAAGATGGAATAAACATATTGAATATTTGGTAAGAAAATTAAGATATCTTATTCCGAAAGTCAAATATTTCAGCAGTTTTTTAAGCGAAAAATATCTATACATGTCATGCCTTTGTTCAATCATTAGTATGTCACGGAATCTTGGTATGAATAATTATTATAAAAAGATTCAAATTACGCAGAAGTGGATTTTGAAAGTTATCTTTAGAATGAATCTCAGCGTTTCGACCGCAGGTACATTTATTTCTATCATTCAATAATATATATAACAAAAAATCCAAAATTGTTACTTTCTATCAGCCACAACCATCAAACGCGATTCAAGGAAGCCTCTGCACTAGCTCCTAGACTTAATAAAACTATCAGTGAAAGATCATTCTATTTTCTATGCTCAAAATTTTATAATGTTATTCCTGCAAACCTCAAACATATAAAATGTAAAAAACGTGTAAAAATTGAATTAAAATCCTGGATCCTAAATCATCCAAGGCTACAAATCCATAAGTTTGTTGACACTAAAAACCTATTATGTTATTTGATCATAAAACGATGCAAATTTATACATTTGACTGGTATACTTAAAGAAAATTTGTTGTATTAATATAACTCAACTTCGGTTAAAACCCAAGCACAAGAGTACACTTTTTTGGATATATTATGTTTCTTGGGCATTGCCGTTATTATTTATACGAAAACTTTGTAACTGGACCAATAAACATTATTATTATTATTTTAAAAAAAAAATCCGGGAAGCTAGGGGCGCTAGTTAGGTTGGGGTCATGCCTAAGGTCATAATTTATGCACAGACAAAGATTTACATTGCTGACCATATGTTCACGTCAATAGTCAACAAGACGAAGAATGGGAAATAGGATACATTTCTGTCAAATCTGTCTTTTTTCCAGTAGCGGTAGCAAAACTGCACATCGATGCCATTCAAACATACCTTCTCCACCCCCTGCAACATCCCACCCCCAATCTTACATCCCACAAATTAATTAAAAAAATGGACAGAGGTGTCTGAACATTTTTGTAATTGACGTGAAAAGCAAGATATTGAAAGCTGATCCTCAACTTATCGAGAATTTTCTGGTTTGCAGGCTTGAAATCACTTGATTAGTTAATCGTCTTGGAATGAATAAATTTGTTGCTATCTACTAGGAATGCCATAGAACAATAATACCATCAAATATCTGAAAAACATCCCAGAGGCGCCCCTGAATTCACTTCGACGATTTGGTAGTAAAATAAGGCTTCTAGGGAGCTTTGAATAATTGATCCGGTTGAAATTAGGTCATGATGGTATTTTATTTACTGGTTGCTGTGTCTGCACGTAATGCCGGTTTCTCTGTGGGTCTTTAGACATGCATAGGAAATTAACTGGGCGGAGGGTTGAGAAAGGGCAGGCAAGGTAAATGTTAAGACGTATAGAAGAATATAATAAATACCGTTGGTTTATCCTGAGCTTTTTCTATATTCGGGAAGTGGTATAAGTTGACAAACGCTTCATGGTATTGTTATGCACTCGTAATTGGAATATTGAGGCACCTTCCTAACATCGACGCTTAGGCAACCAATTATGCAATTAAGCATCGAGAGCGGTCGACACCCATCAGGAAGCATCTACTGCCTTCGAGAAACGTCAAGCGTCATCTAGTAAGCTTTGATTAAGGCTTGTCTTTTATCTAGTAGGCTCTGGATTGGTTGATTTGAAATAAAGAGGCGCTGGGCGCTCCGACGATGAGTCAGCAACATGGCGTAGCTTGTCTTTGCTGGGCGACGCGCGTGGATGACTTTACCTTCTCGGGTAGTTCAGTTTAGCGGAAGCATCCCAAGCGCATATACGTTTGACTTTAACATCATGTGAACGGTTTTACAAAGATGAAAAATGGCGCCAAGTAGGTTGGCTCTGCTCTTTCCAGTATGTTCAGCACAAGCTAGACCCTCTGAAAAAAAGTCAATCAAACCTGTCCAAACAGTTAGTCCATATACATAATATCCCTGCCCTACTGGTAGTGCATCTGGAAACGCCGTCTCTCTTCGACACTTAACGCGATGAGACGTGGTAGTGCGGTCAGAGCATGAGAAACACTATGCTGTGGCGAGGCAGAAATATATGTGATACAAGAACACTCACCAAGGCCGGCTGCACGCCACTGGAAGCAGCAGCCGCGGCCGGTAGGTACGTGGTCCGTCTGCTGGGAATACTTTTAGGCTTAAGGGCCAATGTGCGGAGAAATCTATTATGTGTAAAATATGTCCAATATCAAAAAATTATATATACCCTCAAGTTGACTTGTTCAAACAGTTGCAGAAGAGAAAAACCGAGCCAGCGCAAGTTAAAACGGCTATCCATAATTTTGAAAAATGTATTGTCGATGTCAAATTGATGACATAATAAATGAAGCCAAACGTATTTGCACTGAACCTCAAGGCAAGAAAAGGAGACGACGTAATAATGGCAGTCACGATCACCGAGTTGCCGCATTAGAAGTATGCGACAATATAGTGAATTCTGCAAATGACAGATTTCAATTCAAATATCATTTGGTAGCCGCTTCCCTTTGGAGAATACTGTGGTAAGTTTCCTGATGACAAGTTGGCTTATCCCGAATTCGACAAAAGTCGTTTTATGACAGAGTCTGTTATTTATGCACGGAATGATTGCCAAGATTTACATGGAACTGTCTCTTGAAATTCTTCATACAAAATAGTTTGGAGGAAACACTAAAAGAAACAAAAAAGCTATTAGAAATTATTGTTACAACTTCTATGTCAACATCAGAGGCTGAGCGAAATTTCTCAACACTGAAAAGAATCAAGACCTTTCTTTGAAATACTATGACCCAGGATCGCCTTACAGCGTTGTCAATGCTGTCTATTGAAAAGGAATTTATTTCGACCATGGGAAATTTCAACGGGAAGGTGATCGACGATTTGCTGCCAAGAAGGAGCGCAGGATTGAACTGACATATAACAAAAATAGGTAAGTTCAGATTTGCAGAACACCTGTTTTATTTTGCCACGAGCCGCCACTGCCTCAACATCCCATACAACCACCACCTCCCGAATTTTTTTTACCTCTAGTATTTTTAAAAAAATTATCAGGATCCTCTGAAACGTCAAAAATGATGTTTGACCTATGTTTATTCCTTTTTGTTTTTGACCCTTTTCTCTGTCGCCACTGGACTGATTTTCAAAAACTACATTGGCATAGTAGTAACATTCTGTAAACATTTCATCGAAATCCGAGCGGTACTAAGATTAGCAGACAGAGTGACAGACCGACGAAAGAGAGTGACGTGGTTTTTCGTGACTTACATGTTATTTAACATCCCAAAAAAAATAATATCCCATTTTCGAAAATTTTCGTGATTACAATACTTCCTCGCCAACATGCGTAGGAAGTAAGAATCTTACTCGATGCGAGGGTTCGAATTTCTAACAAATTATCTTTTCTATTGACAAATTTAGGAAAAATAAATTGAAATTGAAACTAGATTTTTCAAAAAAAAACTTTTATTTAGCTGTTAAAGCGAACTAAATATTTTTGCAGACTGGAAATGTGCCGTTTTATACTTCTTAACCTTTGAACAATAATTGAGCCTTTTCATCTCAAGATTTCCACTAAAATTGTGCTGCACCCTTTTTCTTCTTGCCGTTAAAACGCTGATATCACAAAAGATTTCGATCCGCTCTTAAATACTGCAGTATTATGTAGACTTCCACCCTATGGCCGCATTGTAAGTGATTGGCTTCTTCTCCAGTGTAATTGACGGATTCTCCTCTTCGCGCCACATTGTCAATGCGGGAGTGCCTCAGGGATCAAAGGATGGGTCTTAGATCCAGCACTGTTTCTAATACACATTCACGACTGCCTTCTCTTCACAAGTTATACCCACAGCTTTGCGGAATCCAATACCTTGCACCTACGCACTCAGTGAGCTAAAGCAGTTTTTATGAAACTCTAAGTGAAGTGTCGTTGACTCCTAGTCTACTAGATTAACTGACCAAAAAAGTGTGTACTTTGTCGCTTTTAGGATAAAAGACACGGAAACGAACTGAAGGAAAAACGGAACAAAAAATCCGACGTCCAGTAACAAGCCATATGACCCTTCTCACGTGTCGCTTAAAGTTTGCTGATCCCATTTGTGATACGGGGAAAAAGCTTACCTTTCTTGGCGCTTGCCTATGCCTCCTTTGTAATTGACAGCACAGCCCTCTGGAAATGTCACATTCAGCGCTCATGTGGCAAGGTTCTGCGTATTGCTTTTCTTGACGTACTGGTGGCCTGAGGTAGAAAAATAATTTATAAAATAATTATTATAATATTCATTGAAGAGTAGGAATGCTTTGGAAGAGCTGCTCATGTCCATCATAGTTTTGTAACCCTAATAGCGGCTTGCTCCGGCTCGGGTTAGAGATAACTCCGAGTTGGTCATAATAACCACTTGTGATCAGTGATAAGATATTTGTTCATGGAACGCTGCTGCATTGGTTGTTTTTTTTGAGACTGTCATTTGTGCTGTTTTGTTTTCATTTGCGCTTTAGGTTATTATATAGATAACCATCAAATTAAACATATAAAAGATATACCCTATTTCATCAGTATCCATGACGCTTTGACGTCTACTGAAGTGAACAGCTGATAAGCAAGTGATATTTCTGTGTTAGTCTGCAACGTTGGCAATAACGAATCGGATGATCCTCGACTAATTCTTCGTTAGACAACTCTGTCATACGACCAATAATAGGAAGGCGTAACAACACAAAACACAAGAACTAAATTTCTAAATTCTAGTCATAACAAGCTTTTAACACAACTAGATTTTCTCGAAATATTGCTAATGAATGTATTCATTCTTAGAAATATCCATATGTTCCAATGCTGTTAACGAGACTAAAAGTCTAGATATATTAACCCAGAGTTAATAAATTAATACCTGAAGCTTCGAGTGAAGTAGCCAGTTAATCCAAAGCGGTGCAAACCAGCGTAAGATATGGGAAGACAGTACAAGTCCTCCACTCTTTTTAAACACTCCAGACGGAGCTTTGTTTTCATGACTAAGGAGTGGATTAACCTTTATATTTCTACAATCAGCTCAAAATGAATTGAACCTGTATGGTCAATTAACTTTATGACTTACTAATGAACGGCAAACGTTTCTGCTAGGTGACTAGCTGTAATTTTATTCTCGAACTGTTAGTGACCCTTCACCCAGGCAACGGTTTATGCTATCTTACAGAAATGGCCTACAATGGCTCAGTCGGGAACTTAAGTTCGTTATAATACGTTTATGGGTCGCTAAAATGTCCTGTTCTCGGAATACTGTCAACAATCCTAGGTTTTAAAAGTCGAGAAATAAGACATTTCAAAACTTTGCGCGTCTAGAATCTGGATCAATGCTAGTTTTTTTTTTAAATAAATCGGGCGCAAATTCTGAATTCGATGCCAATTGAGTGCTAGGACTCACGGGTGGTCCCGAATGACTGGCTGTTTACCAATCCTCCCCTAATCCAGCACAATGACAATTTGAGGTTTTTTACAAGTATAATAAAATTTAGCTCCCCAAATTACCTGAATGTTCATATCATTGTTCTCGTATAGCAACTGGTAAAGAAAGTCGACTTTTAGCACACTCACTAAATAATGAATGTACATGACAAACAGGATCAGATACCTGTACAATTGAAATGACTTTAAATTCAATTTTAGCAACCCAAAATGGGGGGACGTTTTCAGATGTCGTCTAAACAGCATTTAAAGTATTTTTTTGGTAACCATATATTCGCAAAATTATCAAAAAACAGTAATAAATCTGGATAAAAGCTTCTTTTCTAGGTAACTCAGATACGAAGATTCCAAATTCGATGTCAATTTATTGCTAGGATTCACGGATCATCCCGAGTGACTAGTTCTTTACCAATTTCTCACCCCTAATTCGTCATCATGATATTTTAAGGTATTTTCGAATACGGTAATTTACAAATTCAACACCCCAAACTACCTGAATGTCGTTCGCAAATAGCTACCGATAGTAAAAATTAATTTTTAGTACACCCAAGCCGCAATTTTCGCATAGTTTACAATTTCCACTTAAAGGATGAGCTTGGAATCGATTTTAGCTGCACAAAATACGTAACATGTAGGTGATTTGAACCGCGTTTATAGCAATGCAATTTTTAGTAGACATCTTATAAAAATGGCCAAATTGGGTCAATCCTTACAATATGCTCTTTGGGTCGCTGAAACCAAATATGGGACCCATTCAGCCTGAAAATGCCCCAGGATACTGGGGGAATCCTACTTTTAAAACCACTTATAAAAGTTCCAAAAATGTTTGCACTTCTATGATTTATTTATTTATTTATATTTCATATAACCTACAGGTAAAACCCAATTACAGGAAAAGCTCAAATATACTAAGTGACATATAAATCCGAACACCCAGTTTAAATGGTTTTATTTTAATAAAAGTTGGTGAATGTATTTATCTTACTGGAAATAACAAGTGAAAAAATTTTCAGCCTTATCAGTTGGACATTCGGGTTTTTATACTGCTTTTTTTTAATTCACTAACGCTCTAAAAATGAATATTTCAGCCGCAGTAAAGAATCAACGTTGGCGGATTTTGGTTCTTGACATCCTTTACGATCGGTTACGATGCCTAGAGTACGGAGACCTGTACGATTTCGTCAACTTAGTCAGTTTGATAGAGGCCGTATAGTGGGACCTCGGGGAGCTGGACTTTCTTTTCGGGCAATTGCAGTTAGAGTGCAAAGAAGTGTAGACACTGTGGTTAGGTGTTGTCAGGCATGGCTTCGAGAAGGCCGTACGCAAAGAGCAAGGGGCACTGGACGCCGCTGTAGAACAAGAGACCGTGAAGATCGCCGCCTAAGATTATTGGCCTTAAGGGACCGTTTCTCCACTACCAGGTCCATTGCAAATGAATGGTTTGCAGAACACGGAAGACCTATTGGCATGCGAAGTGTTTACCGACGAATGAGAAGTTTTGGCTTGTTTTCATACCGGCCACACTGGGTCCTCCCTTTAACTCGAGAACACCGACGTAATCGCCTTGAGTGGTGCAGACAACTCTGGGATCAGGAATGGAACAGTATTGTCTTTAGTGACGAGCCTCGATTTTGTTTAGGCGTGCACGATGGTCATGCCAGGGTTAGAAGGCGACGTGGTGAAAGGAGGAATCCACAGTTTTTTGTTGAAAGACATGTTCATCACAGTGTTGGAGTTATGGTTTGGGGTGCTATAGCTTATGATTCCAGGTCACCTTTAATCTTCATCGGAGGTAACATGAACGCGCAGCGTTATATCCACGAAGTTCTAGAACCCCATCTTTTACCCTATCTTGACACTCTGGCAGATCCAACTTTCCAATAAGGTAATGCCCGACCACATATTGCAAGAGTCACCATAGACTTCTTTCAACATAATGATGTCACATTGTTACCATAGCCACCAAGATCTCCCGACTTATCCCCAATTGAGCACGTGTGGGATATGATGGGTAGGAGATTGCTCAATTTGCAACGTCCTCCTCAGACTCTAGAAGCACTTCGTGAGGAGTTGGTGGTTGCCTGGAATGAGATACCACAGGAGGACATTGACCACCAGATCAGAAGCATGCCTAGGCGCGTTGGAGAATGCGTAGCACATCAGGGTGCATCCACACATTATTAAAGGTCAAAGGGCTTTAAAGGAGTGCAATCATTTTGAAATTTTCATCATTTTTATCATTTACTTATTATGCTTAAGTACTTATACAAAATTTTATTAAAATAAAACCATTTAAACTGGGTGTTCGGATTTATATGTCACTTAGTATACATTAACAAAAAGAAAATAAAGAGACAAATTGAAAGCTTAAACTTAGCATCAATTGGCCTAAGTATGATTGATTTATAGCTGTCATTTTAAATACCGCACAGATCACAAATAGAGTTCATCAGACTGCATATTACATAAACTGGAAATTTTAACATTACGTTCGTCCGGGCTGCTTGACAATAAAAGGCTGACTGTTGACGACTTTCAAGCCTTGGAATGCGGAAATATATTTTTTCAATTAAATTCGGACAGTCAATTTGATTGTGCATAAGGCCATATAAAAACGATAAGGCAAACATATTACGTCCAATTGATAGTGAATCTGAATCGAAAAAATCAAAAGGGTATGATGACAAAAACCTCTTTGTGGATAAGAACCAGTACATTTAAGGTAAAAATACTTAAATAGCCTTACCTTGAATGGCTTCTATCATTGAAACTGAATTTAGGTATTCCAACTTGCTTCTGACAAAGGTAACGAACAAAGTCAATAAAGTACTGACATTGGAGAACCCCTTTCAGTTTCTGATACAGAAGCCAAGTAGTCTGGTGGCAGCCGATGAGACATTGAGTATATGTTTGCTAAACATTAGCCTTCTGTCAAAGGTTACTTCCAAGGTCCTTAAGAGAGTAGCATCTGGCTAGAGCCTGACCGTTGACGTTATAATCATCATATATTAAATAATTAGTCTTTCTTGAATAAGACACAACTTTATATTTAGAAACATTTAAACTAAGACAGCACCATGAAGAAATTAAGCCTAAATTATCCAGCAGCATGAGACAATCATCAATTGGCTCAACCGATAAATCTTAACGTCGTCAGCAAAAACCAGATGCAAACAATTGAGATCAAGAGACAAATCGTTAATAAAGATCAGGAACAATAATGGGCCTAGATTCGGTCCTTGAGGCACCCCAGATGTGGCCTGATAATAACTCGACCTATAACCACCATATTTAACAAACAACCTGCTGTCCATCAAGTATGAACTCAGGAGCCGCAACAGTCGCTCAGATAGACCTACGGTCCTGAGCTTATTCAGAAGTACATAATGATCAACTTGACCAAATGCCTTCTGAATATCTGTATAGATTACATCAACTTGCACCCGAGTGTCTAATACTTGGGAGATATACTGAGTAATCGGAGCCAAGCTGGTAACCGTAGATCTGCCGCTCCTGAATCCATGCTGATTGACAGAGAGATGATCTGGATAGAAGGTTGTTTACTAGGTAAATCTGGTGCGTGCATTCCGAGTTCGATCTCAGTTTAGTGCTAAAGTTCACAGGTGTCTCCGGGTAACTGCAGAACTTAACTGCAAAAGGGTCTAAGTGCTAAAAATACCAGAAATCAAATTCTATATACCAAGCCTAATGATAATAAGGTGGTAGGAATATTCATAGCGTATGTCTATGTGCCATTATGAAGAATATTCACAAGG